GTTCATTCTTAAAGTCCCAGCAGAGGACTGGAGACATCACAGAGGAGTGCGGGTCATGAACACAGGAGAGATTCTGTCACACTGTGGACACAGAGGCAGGGCAGACAGCAGGAGAGCAGCCCTGGGCTCTGTGTGCAGCTGCTCCTGAGCTGACCTGGCTCCAAGCTGTGCTGAGTGCCCCCTGCTGGTGCTGAGCGCCCTGCAGGGAGGTTTGTGTCTGGCCCACACTGGATTTCCTGCACTGTGTCTCTAGTACAGTAATAGACGGCGGTGTCCTCCACTCTCAGGCTGTTCATCTGCAGGTAAACTGTGTTCTTGCTGTTGTCTCTGGAGATGGTGAACCGGCACTTCACAGAGTCTGGGTACCATGTGCTACCACCATCTTTATAAATTTTTGCAACCCACTCCAGCCCCTTCCCTGGAGCCTGGTGGACCCAGTCCATGTAGTAATCACCGAAGGTGAATCCGGAGGCTGCACAGGAGAGTCTCAGGGACCCCCCAGGCTGCACCAAGCCTCCCCCAGACTCCACCAGCTGCACCTCACACTGCACACCTGCAAACACAGAGAATCCTGGTCAGCAATGGTCACACATGTCCATGGTTCCGCCCACTTGTGTCTATTTGCACACCCTTGCTGCCCATAAATCACCTTTCAACAGAGCAATAAGTAGAACCCAGCGCAGCCCCAGCTCCATGGTGCTGGTCTGTGCTCAGTCACTGGTGGAATCAGCTCACAGAGCTCAGGTCAGGGCTGGGCTGGTTTTCATGGGCAGAGGGACGTCCTATTTGCATGTCCTCTGCTATAAAGCAGCTCTGGGGCAGAAGTCTCAGGAGGGCAGTGCACAGAGGAGATGCAGGTGGGAGACAGAGTTTGTTAGATGAGTGAATAAACTGAATTGTCTGTAATCAATTGGCTTCAAGAAACCCACTGATGGAATATGAACTTATTTAGAGAAGTATAACTCTGCTTCCCTTATTAAAGATTGCTGTGCCATTTGCTTTTAAAAACATTTTCCCTCTGCCTTTTGTATTATTTATTGTTTGTATTTGGGAGGGTAAGGGGGGTCACCTAAAATCTGGAACAGGAATGAACAAATATCATAGAGATACTCACCAGACACTGTGGAAAATGAACTGGAAATGTAATGGGTGGGGACAGGAGGGAAGGATTGGGAGAGAGCAACAGAAGGAAAGAATGGTTCATAAAAAACTGCACTGAATGTACCTGATTCACCTAACTACACCCGCTCTGTACATCAACTACACAACATTTTTTTAATTAAATAAAAAATAAAGATGCCGTTCAGTGAGGCAGTTTATGAACACACTAAGGCTTGATCAATGTCGCCCCTTTCAACATTCCTTCCAACCCCTCCACCTCCTCTTCCCTCTCTCTGCTTAATGTTCAGGACATGTATGCTGACATCATTGAACAAAGCAGTTCATGGATACAAGGCTTGTGGATCTGTGTCATTCCTTCCTCACCTTTCCCCTTTGACCCACCCTAAGCTCAGTGTTCTCAATTCTGTGGCCTATGCACTGTATTCTTGCCTGTGTTCTCCACGTTGTCTCCTTCATTCTTCTACCATTTGCCCCTCATCTCTCCACTCCCAGTACCCACTTTCTGGTGCTTACTTTGTTGGTCTTTGACTTAGTCTTTGTGAAGAGCTATACTCTTTGATCTCTCCATAGGGTTTATTGTATGTGTCTCCCAGTGAGACATATAACAACAGCAGGAGAGGACCATTAGCATCGTTGTTCTGGGAAGCAGGGATGACCCGAGCTCTCTGCTCTTATTGCACATGGAGCACTGCTCTCATCCACGCACATTGTGAGAAACCTGTCAGCCAGGAAGGTGGCCACGCTAGACCCAGGTCCCCACCACCACATTGTCCCCCTTCCTCACTTGTCTCTGAAGAGCTTTTTCTCCAGGCCGTTACATAAACACACACTTGATACTGAAGTGTGGCAGCCTGGCTTTTGAGTGACTCAGGACTGGAAATAACCCCGGCAGATCAATGCCGCTCATTAAAAGCCAAGCCTGTTGAAGGCTGCAGTGGAGGTGTTGTGTGGATGGAATGAAATTCCTCACTAATTCCTCTCTGGCAACCTGGGTGGATCTGAGTGGGAACAGCCCAGAGAGGATGACATTCCACCACAGAGGCAGCTCTGCAGCAGGCTCTGCGGGAGGTTCTAGATCTCTTCCTGATGGCCAATCGCAGGAGCTCCCACCCACCCTGCACCTCCACAGCCCACGTGCTCCAGGAGGACCTGGCCCCAGCCGGTCCTCAGTCCCATGTGCACAGGCTCAGGACAGTGAGGTGATGCAGGTGAAATCCCAAGTGACGACTGTTTTTACACTCATCCATGTGCCCTTAGCTACAGATATCCCCTGAGCTTCCCGCCAGAGTCCATAGAGAGGAGGACAGGACAGTCCAGGGCACGCAGCCTGGGGACACCAGTGAGTTCTTCCCAGGCATGCAGGAGCCAGGGCCACAGCCTCATTGACCTCCAGGTCCCGGTACTGGGCCTGGGGTCTAGAGAATGAATACAGGCCACGTCTGCAGGGGACTTAGTGTGAAGGACAGGTGTGGACAACACAGAGACAATTAAGAACTCATGAGTCCTTCTAGGATCAAGCAGCGACCAGATCCAGAACTGTGTCTGAGAATCCCATCCAACCTCATCATCTACAGTGTGTGTAGAAAGGGACGGAGGCAGAGGAGCTGGTGGGGGTCACTGGGCCTCTGCAGGTAACCACAGCTCAGCGGTGCCCAGGACTGGGCTCTGTGGGTCACAGAGCAGCCCCCGGTCCTGACCGATGGCCCCTCACATGTCACCAGCAAGAGGAAAGGGGACAACGGAATCAAAGCCGGGCTGGACGCCTGAGCTGTGTGAGCAGAACGGTGGGCCTTGAAATCCATCAGTGACATGGAGGCCCTGGATCTGCACAACATCCCGTGCACTCCGACCTGAGGATAAAGACTGACCTAGCCAGGGAGTCCACTGCATCTCTCCCGAGTCTGAGAGGGAAGGACTGAGCAGGGATCTTGACCTTCCTCAGATTTGACCTAAGTGATCTCAGCAGTGTCCACCGACTGTGCATGGTGCTGTGTCTGGTCCTGTCAAGGATGCATCATTAACCACAACAGACACAGGGCAATAGAAGATGGAAAAAGCTGTGTGCTGAGGGGTTGGAGAACAGCAAGAACACCGGAGACAGGTTTGTGGGGGACGCTGCGTCCTGTGGAGAGGCCAGGCACACAGAGGAGTCAGGGCCTGAGCTCCACATCTGCTCCTGTGACTGCCATGACCTCAGTGTGTGCCCAGTGCCCCCTGCTGGTGCTGACTGAACATGACCTCAGTGTGTGCTGAGCACCCCCTGCTGGTGTTGAGTGCCCTGCAGGGAGGTTTGTGTCTGGCCCACACTGGATTTCCTGCACTGTGTGTCTGTAGCACAGTAATAGATGGCCGTGTCCTCCACTCTCAGGCTGTTCATCTGCAGGTAAAGTGTGTTCTTGCTGTTGTCTTTGGAGATGGTGAAGCGGCCCTTCACAGAGTCTGGGTAGTATGTGCTACTACTACCATCGATGGATGAAATCCACTCCAGCCCCTTCCCTGGAGCCTGGCGGAGCCAGTTCATCCAATAACCACTGAAGGTAAATCCGGACACTGCACAGGAGAGTCTCAGGGACCCCCCAGGCTGCACCAAGCCTCCCCCAGACTCCACCAGCTGCACCTCACACTGCACACCTGCAAACACAGAGAATCCAGGTCAGCAATGGTCACACACATCCACCGTGCCTCCCACTCAGCTCCACTCACACACCCAGTGTCCCTTCTTCTCTGCAAATTACCTTGTAAAATGGCCACAAGGAAAACCCAGGTCAGAGCCCCCTCCATGGTGGAGGTCTGTGCCCAGTGCTGAGCTCAGGATGGACCCCTGGACGTCAGGCCTGACCTGCAGAGGTGCAGCTTTTCATGAGCAGAGGGAGGCCCCATTTGCATGTTCTCTTGGTATATAGCCAGCTCTGGGGTGGAATCTGAGCAAAGGCAGTGCAGAGAAGACAGGAGAATCAGGAAGTCAGCTGTGACAATGATTACATGGAAGAGAACACAGACCTCATCCCACAGCAGAGCGAATGGGTTAGGAGACCTCATCTTACTGCATTTTACACAGCACAGTCAGTCATCGCTCACATTAGGTGTCATGATGTGTGCATGTGTCACATTGTTTGGTGGTATGAATTTGTAATAGAAGAGTCTGTTGATTGCTAGAGAGGTGCATTGCCCCTTGAGCTGTGTGTCCAGCCATTTTTGCTGTATTTTTCTTTAGTGATTTGGGGCTATGACCATGCATTTTTCCTGGTGGTATGGGCGGCGTTCTCCTATCTGTGCTTTCTGTGCAGCTGAGTGGATTGCTGTGCATGACCGTGTTTATCTCTGGGCTGACACTGTGTCTCTGGGACTGGCTCCAGTCATTCCTGCCAGTCTCCCTACCGAGGAGGGGCCACCAACCCATCTGACCATTTTCTCACTTTTAAACTATGGAAATGCACTTATTTTATTTGCTGCAAACTTGTTCAGCTTTACCACACAGAGGACTTGTTTATAACATTTCATAAGCACCACAGCTCAAGGAAATCTGCTTCACCAGCAGCAGAGTCTGGAAATGGGGCATTCTTCCGGAAGCAAGTCCTTGGCTTCCGCTGAACCCCTCCTCCCACCAGCAGTGGTTGTGGGTTAAGGAAGGCTGTGTGCTTCCTACTGTAAATGTACTAAGGGGATCATTTTAGGGTGGTCGTTTTATGTTCACTTTTCATCTACTTTTATTTTTGGCATTTGGGTTTGAAATCACAGCCTTGTGTTTGCTCAGCATGCTCTCTGCCATGTCTTCAGCTCCTTTGACTCTATGCTGTTTCTCGCTTAGGGTGAAATGACTTTGTCCAGGGCTGAACTCATGCTGTTATCTTCCTAGGATGCCCATTAATTTGAGTTTACAGGTGTGGGCCTCATGCCTGGATTATTGTGAGATATAGTCTCATCAACTTCTTGTGCAGGCTGGCCTCAACCCATAGTTTGCTGGATGTTTTCCCCTGCATAGCCACCAAGTTCAGCTCAGTGGTGTCTTTGTCCATTCTTGGTGGTATAAAGTTATCCCCAATGGGGAAACCTATACAGGGTGAGGATTTGTTTCTCATAGTCTGGGGTCAAGGTGTTCAAGGTCAAGCACTTTTCTGTCTGCTTTGAGCTGGTTTTCTGGTTCCTAGGTGGTCTATGTGCTGTGTCCTCATGTGGCAGAAGAGACACCTGTGTCCTTCCCTTGCAGGGTGGGAAGGAAAGATCAGCTCCCTTCCTTAAAGGGACAGGAGGACACTCACCATCCATGAGTCAGGCTGCTTCCCTGCAAGGGTTAAATTCCAGGTCATGAATGTTGGGGAGCCAACGCATGCACCCCATAGCTTCCCACCTTGGCCTGGACTCCTTTCACATTGTACCTTCCAAATGATTTATGCATAGCAATGGCAGCAAAGTGCTAGTGCCCCCAGAGCTAACTTTACATTCAGATTCCAATATTTTGCTATCGTCTGAATCACATGGTGTTGAGTCACAAGTTACGTGTGTTGTAAATACAACATGAGCCTGGAATAGAGCAGATATTCCCAGAGGGATAATGGGAAAGAAAGGGTAACCATAGTTACCAACAAAATCCAAACATCAACT